TTGCTAAGTTTTGAGACCCCACTTGTCTCCAAACTTTTTACTTGCTTAGTTACGATATTTTTCCACCTCCTTCCGTGTCTTATGCAGGTATTTTGCTTTGCCTCGATGGTACGTATTTTGTACAAGCACAAAAGAGCATCTCGTTCTTTAGCGAGGCAGTTGCATTTTAACCACAGAGTTTTGTTTAAACCTCACGAGAAGTCTGCAGTTGTAATTATGACAATTGTCGTGGGCTTGTTTATTGTTTGTTATGTAATGTATATGCGCTGTGGTTTTGCTATAATCTTCCATGACCGAGCATCATGTAACGATTCCACATACAAAATACCTGTGCTCGTTTTAAACTCTGCCGTTAATCCCTTGGCGTACGCCTTCTTCAAGAGAGACATAAAGAGAGAGTTAATTAAAAAGCTAACTTGCAGATGGATATTTCTAAAAAGCCACAAAGTAAACTCCATTTAATAAAGGGGATAGGTACTTGAGTTTGTGGTAACGGTTAATGGGGAGAGCTGCCTCATAACTTCAGGAAAACGCGGAAATAAAGTGAGAATTTTTTTAAAAAGTTCCATGCAAACGTCAAAAAAATACTGATGTTGCATTCAGAAAAAACCAAATGTTGTGGGGAAACTTAATTACACCGGCTTCGTTGATGGAATATTACATCTAATCAAGTTATGTTGAGGAAAAGTCTCCTCAGTGTCTATCAAGATTTCTTTTACAAGTTTTGTTTCAAAAAGTTTTCAGCAATAAAAACATCACGATGCACTCCTGTCTAGCTTTTGATTTAAATCTACCACCGTCTTTTGAGGATTGAGTCAATTATTAAAATTTTTAAGAGAACCAACATTTTTTATTGCTCAGTTCAAAATTGTACCTCTATTTGTTTTTCTCTTCTTAATTTGTACGTATGTTTGTATCTATGTCTATCTATTTAGACCATCTACGCAAATAATCTCCATGCTCGCATATATCAGTGAAATACTGCTGATGATCCCTAGGAAATTCTGCATGGTTAGTCCGCATGAAGTCTTTTTAGAGTGATAGTGAAAAATATCAGGGAGATGACCTGCGGTTTTCTAATACAACTGGTGTTCTGCCCCCCAAAAAACTATGTGGTTTACTGGTGTTGAAGTAGAGCAAGAGACGAGTGCACCCCCTCCTGAAAAAAATCCTGGATCCGCCTCTGGATATATATCGTATGCGAAAAGAGATGCTACTGATTCACCTGTCTGTAGCATAGGAAGATTTTCAGGGAATAAAGAGTGCGGAATTTGCAAATGATGTTCTTTTTTCTTTTACATTTTATGAGTGCCAGCGTCTTTTTAATTAACCGAACGTTTTATCTTTCTGATTTTCAGTCAAAAATTAATTAAAAGTTTAAGCAGCAAGAATGAAAACCCTTGATATGAACTTGATCACTTCAGAGCAACGTAAAACTGACTCGATGATAATTTGTTACCACGTGACTTTTCAACATCAAATTTTACGTAACAAGTTCAGTAAAATTGTACGCAAGCATAATGTACTTTCATGGAGGTCAAAGTTGGGCTAAATTCTTCCATTACGGTTAACAAAACTTTGAAAAGTTTCAACGTTTCATAAGTTCAAAATTAATTCACATTGTTACAAAACACATTTAAAAGGTCTTTAGGTTTCTGAGACCTCCCGAGAAAGTTCTTTCCCAGATGAAAAAAAGAAGGCTGAAATAGGCTATATCACGCACAAGACGGAGATGCATTAAGTCTACCTAACAAGCCATTTTCGAATCTCTCGAAATGACAAAGTGTGGCTAGGAAAATTTTTTATCGTTAGCTTTTTTTTTGTTTTGGTTTTTTTTTTTCAAATGACGATTAAAATTGTCTGTTTTTAGTACACCTAAGCTAACGACTGAAATTTTTGCCCGTTATATACCTTTGACGGTTAACCTCATTTCGGCTTTGTCTTGTCAAATCGCCTTTCTCCAATGCCTATTGCTTGAACGGTTTTGTAGCCAATCATTTCCAGCCCCCTTCACCACAACACATTATTTTCCAGCAAACCAAACTACGTAGATCCTTATATCGGATCCTTTAGCGGCCGGTAACTGACACTTTTAGCTTCAAGGTAATTAAAAAAAAACAATCTCTGGTCTGATATTGTTAACTGAACTGCCTTTCCTTTTCTTTCTCCCGTCCAGGGTGAGAAAGAGTACCTTTCGAAATATTGGCAATCATATCAGGTTATCTCTCTGTCGAATGGGCCTTGCCTTTTTCTTTTATCTTAAAACTACAAATCTGCAAAGCAGAAGTCTAATTTTGTTTACACACCACGACTATTTAAACGAGTAACGACGGAGATGCTTTCCTTACTCAGGTATCGGTTAAAACTGCTCTTTCGTATAACAGCAGAGTGAAAATTCGGCTCATCAAAACGAGGCTACGATCTCGAATAACAGCAAACGTCATTGCATGATGAAAGGGTCTGGATGGGTTAAAAAAGCTCCGCGTAAATGTCAAGAATTTGTTAGTGTTGAAGAATATTTCTTTGCAATGCTCTGTCGTAATTTTATCAGTAGTAATTGTGTCGAAATTTGTTATTGCTGTCATCATTTCTATATACAACACCTGTCGCAATTTGTAATAACTACCCGTCACAATTGCAATAAAAGAGTTATCGCAACTTGTAATAAATCAAGCGGTCGTAATTTGCAATAACTTCATCGTAATCTTTTTCAATACACTACGGGCAAATCTAGCTCAACGACCAGTATTATCCAATGTCCAAGGTAGTTCGATACGTTCGATATACTCTCGGTACTTTTTAGACCACAAAAACGAAGAGCACCAGCGGAATGCAATAGGCCTTTTCACGATTTTTTTAAACTTTTGATATGAACCAGTTAGGGAAAATCCGTCGACACTACTGGAAAGAGCGCCATAAAATTAGTAAAACTACCAAGTTTGAAAGTGGTACTACTTAAGTGAGCGAAGGCGCGAAGATACAAAACGTTTCTGTTGAACAAAGGATAACTTTCAAAATTGCAGTAATTACATTTAAGGTGCTTCATGGTGCTGCGCCTAGCTATATCACTGATCTCATCAAGCCTTATACACCTGGTAGACTTCTTAGATCCTCCAATCAATTTTTACTTTCTACATATAAATTTAATCTTAAAACTTATGGTGGCCGGTCTTTTACTATTGCTGCACCTTCAGTTTGGAATGCACTTCCATTCGAACTTAGATCTTGTAATTCCCTTTCTTCTTTTAAATCTGAGCTCAAGACTTGGCTTTTTAAAATTGGTTATGATGTTGTCGTATAGAATGATGATGTTTTTATAGGATGACAATGTAGTTTTGTAGTTTTGTAGGTTTAGGATTTTGTTGTTATTTTTATTATGTAAAGCGCTTTTGGACCATTGGAAATTAGCGCTCTATAAATACTGTATATTATTATTATTATTATTATTATTATTATTTTCACTCACGTGGCTAGCATCTATGCAAATATTTTGGAACAAAAGAGAGCGTTTGAATAACAAAAGAGTTCAACTCCCACAGGACTGGTTTGGGACACCAACATGGCCGCCGTTTCATTGTTTTGGGACACCGATATGGCCGCCGTGACGTCATGTGAAAACATTCTATTCTCGGCTTGCACTGTCACGCAATGAAAAATAAAAATGCAAACCATTCAATGCAGAAGGACTAGAATCTGGGAAATGAAAGAAGATAAATATACAAAAACCCTTGCCAAGAATCAGGTCTGTGAAATATTTCAAATGCGAGATATTGGGAAAAACGGTTTACCTAAATTTATAAAGCTTTGTATGGAAACGCCATGTTGGTGTCCCTTTCAGGAACACCAATATGGCCGCCGGATACCAACAGAAACATCTGTTGTCGAGTTTTCCTACTAATGCGTGAATTCTTCGCTTGAGGAACTCATCAAGATTGCGGAAATATTTTTTCTGAGACAAGGAATGTTTAGATTGCAAAACCTCCCAAAATCGGTAATGTTTTTAACCCACATAAGAGCTTTCCCGGCCGCCAGCTAAATGCCGCGTCACGCAAAAGCCTGGAAATTCAGGCGTCCTCTCCCGCAAAACGAAGAACCCTTTCCAACCCAAAATTTGTTTATGTAAAGGTGTTTAGGTACTGTAATACCTCGTGAAAGTAGAAACTCAGAAGAATCGATAGTTTCTTAGTTTGATTTTTGGTGACGTCACGTGCAACCCAATAATAGCTCCTCAAATTGTACAGACGCGGATTCAGACGCGGTATGGTGGGGGGAACGGACTTGCAAACTTTTCGTTTATAAATTTTCCGCAACTAAGCGGAGTTAAATTGTCCCTCGCTTAAGGTCCTTAAGACGTATCACTTTCAAATTTGGAAATTTTACTAATTTTAAGGCGCTCTTTCTAGTAGTGTCGACGGATTTTCCCTAACTGGTCCATGTGAAAAGCTGAAAAAACTGTGAAAAGGCCTATTACACGGAAAATTCCTCTCAAAATTTTTAAACATGCACAAAACGGACAGTTTTTCGCAGCTTTTGGTGCAAATGCCTTTCACTGTATGATGACCCTATTTATTTTTCCTTCTTTTACAATCGCTCAAAAAGCTCCCAGTCGGAACTGGTTGAATTGACTACAGGGAAAGCCATCGCAATCAGCCGCGGGTTCAACCGGTGTAGCAGGTATAGTTCATATATAGACCTTTATTGCCGCTGGAAAATTTACCGGCTCCTGACGAGGAAGTATACACGTCGGTTAATTAACCCAATGAAACCTTCCAGCACTTAAAATAGCCGCTCAGCCCTTTATTACAACTTCAGTAAGTTATAGTTTCGGCCGTGTTGCGAGTCCATTCATTATTGTAGGTTTGAAACTACTTTATGGTAATGCTGTTGAGACCTCCCTCTAAAGTACATGTAGGTGACTTTTTTGTTATGTTTATTTTAACACCTGTTACGGTCTATTTTCTTGTGGGGCAAATCCGCTATATTTAATAATCCCAGTTGCATTAGTTTCTATTTTGAAAAAGTCTTTTTAACTGCTCTTTAAAATCTTTCTTGAGAAAGGAATAAGCGATGGGATTAGCAGCAGAATTTAATAAACAGACAAGGTTTAGAACATGATCAACGTTTTTAGGTTTATCGCAGCACAAACTCCAATCACATGAACAGAAACCCTTCCAATTTTCCCCAGCAGAACAGAGAATAAATATTACCATCACAAATATCATCATTTTCGCGGTTCTTTGCCTTTCGAAGGCTGGAGAATCGGATGCATTCAATTCTAGTGTGTCATTTCTGTGGTTGAAACGAACTTGAGCGTTTAGCGCGCGTGCTTCGTGTGACAAGCTCCGTGCAACAGCCAAAACACTCGTTGTCAATGCAATCAATAAAATCATTGGCAAGGTAGAGAAAACCAAGGTTTTGAATATCGAGAAGGCGTTTTCTTGATCTTCAGTTGCAAACAGCAGAAAGATGGATTGAGGAATAGCGAAGATGAATAATGGGGCCGTCCACGATGCGATCAAAAGGAAGGTGACTCTTTTCGTCGTCATCAATGTAACATGTTTCAGTGGTTTCTTTACGGAGATGTGACGGTCTACCAACATGATACAAAGATTAACATTTGAGGAATATTGGAAAAAGTGTCTGGTGATAAAAAAGACGTCATCACATTGCTGGGAATGACAGATGAAGCTTTTGACAAGAATCTGGGGAAAATATGTGATACCTACAAAAATGTCTGCAACTGCTAACGAGGCTATAAAGCAGTTGGGCTTCGTTTGCAGCTGTGGTTTTTTCAGGATCAGATATGCGACAAGTCCGTTTCCAGCCACTGTTAGAAGAGTAAAAAGACATCCTAAAATCCAAAACCAAAGATTGCTGTCAATATTACTATCAGAAGACATTTGCGCGGTGTACGGTCTCTTCTTGGCAGTCAATACAAATGTGTGACATTTCACGGTTCCTCTTTTCGTCCTTATTTATCGAAATAATATAAACAGTTGGATGTTGACTACGTTCAGCTTAAGGCTTAGGCTGAACACGATCACCTGTCATTCATAGGTGCGATAAATTTGTCATTTTTATACATAATCAGAATTCTCAGCAAGGAAGAGCTGAGTACATTACCCTCACTGCTACATTAATCAATAAACTGTGTGTTCCTGTAAATGGGTTGGCTCCGATAAGCGACTTCTAGAGTGAATTTTATATTTCATTCTCTTTTGAAGATATATTTTTATTTTAAAGCCCCCCACAACAAACACCCGTCAAAAAGACAATTGCAGTCTTGACGTTTCGTAACAGACTCGTCAATTTTGTTAAGACCCCACGAATAGCCACGATTCCGTGGCGCAATTTTGCATATAACTGCATTCAATTAAGGGGTCGACCATTTGACTTTTGAGGGAGGGGGACGTGGGTGATTTGGTTTGGGTAAGAATGTTTTCTCCATCCTTTTGAGATAGAATTTTGTCTGACATCAGAACGGTGTACGATTTTTTTCCATTATTATACGCCATGAGAGGTTTTTTTTCAGTGCAGGTTACTTTTTCTCCAGGTATTTCCTTGCAAGACTTTTCCCCTCGAAATCAGTCGTAGGATATGTTTTTCCTTTTTCTGAAATCACCCATACCCCTCCTCCAAAGCCAAATGGTCAGCCCCTAACACTATTCTTGGCAGGAGAAGTGCGAACACTGAATATGGCAATTTCGAAATTTTTTAAAACCCTTTAAGTCCGAATAGTGACCAACATCAACTTCCTCCCCACAATATTAGTATGCTGCCAAGAGAAATGATTATGCGAATTATTAAAAATGATCACTAACGAGAAAATGCTTTGATCTGTTATCAAATTCTCTTAACTTATTCTTTAAGGAAATGTATGGAGATCAGTTTGGAGAATTTGTAAGTGGACATCGGGACTTAAAGTTTAATATTATAAGCCCTGGGGTTATACTACTTCGAAAGGGTTTTAAGAGGGCTTGGAAAGTCTTAAAACGGAGGGGCTTCTGGTTGGCGACCCTTAATAGAAATTGCACCTCGAAACAAGCTATAACAGTTTTGATCAAAATATGTTTTGCATTTACTGGTTTTAATTAAGCTTTAAAACGTCAGAATCGAATTCATTTCAATACATATCTGAGGGGGCCTTTTATCCGGAGGGAGGGCTTATAATCAGATGTTTTTTTTTGTTTTCAGGTAGATGGGCTCATAACTGGGGGTTGGGGGGATTTTGGGGCTTATAAGTTGGAAGGGGGGGTTATAAGCAGCGTTGTAGGTTAAACATGAGTAGCATCCCAAATTTTCGAACCTCCAAAGAAAATAGAAATTGCTTCGTTGAATCGGAAGTTCGAAAATTAAAGGTGGCATTGAATCACACCTGTTTTACCATATATGGTATTGTTTTATAAGAGCCAGTAACACTGCAGAAAACAACGGTGTAGCACTCTTGCACGTCAATGTATGTACCATGCGAAAGGTTTGAACCCAGGACTCATTTCAAAA